TTTATAGGAAAGATGGCAGCCAACTTGGCTGCCTAAATCCAGTGGGAACTGAGCAGTTGACAGCCCACAATACTGCTGTCATACAGCTGGCCCACCTCACCAACTAGCAACCCACTTGCCCAATTGTCTAGGCCTCCTTCCAGCCACTTTCCAGCTGGTTTCCAGCCACTTTCCAGACAGGTGCAGCCATTGTTGACTAGTCAAATAGGTTAGAATTCAAGGCATTCCAACATTATGGTTACTTTGAGTTGACATTTTTTATTTTTTTGAAAATGTGTCACTCGCCTCAAGCGACCAGGCGAGCACTCAGCGCCTCAAGGGTGTCACTTGAGGCAACATCCGTAAGGCGGGCCTAAGTTGGTTGCTTGAATCACTTTTCTCGGCTCAATCACTGCCTCAGGAGATCTCTCTCGCAGTCTGCTGCCGACAATGTACTACATATCTTGTTGTCCAGTTGTCACTATGAATAGACTAGTCTCGTAGATGACAACTAGCCAACATCGTGAATTGACTAGGGATTCTCTTGATGTTTATTAATTTGTCTAGGGATTCTAGAGCAATTTTGTAACCCCCTATATTGATATTGGAGTTACCTTAGTAGAAAAATTTGGATAGCAATTTCAGAACCATAAAATAACTTTTCATCATTGCTCAATGGATGATAGCTTGAGATATTTTTATTTTTATCCTCCTGAGACACTTCAACTTTCTTGATCTTCATTTTTCTAGACAGACCCCGCACTTGATCGCTTCCCAAGTATTTGCAAGGAATGTCAACATCCAAAAAAGTCAATAGCAGGGAAGCACAAGTGCAGCAAAAAACAGGTGCCCAAAGCACCTTGCTGGTTTGGGTGCGGTGGTGCGCGGTGGGGTGGTTTTGTAGTTTTTTTTCTTTTTCACGGATTTCACAGGATCAGAACCGGCATGGATAGGAAGCATTCAGCGATGACCTTTTGCATAGTCGCGGCACGGAAACGAGAAGAAGATGGGCGTCGGATCTGCCCTTTGACCCGTGCTTCAAAATTGAATGTCTTACTCCATCTTTAGGGGTTTTCTTTGTTTTGTTTTCTATTTTTCCTTTTTTTATCCTTTGTCATTTTTATCATTGTATCTTTAACTGATTTGGGGTTGCTTGTGGAACTTGCTCAGTTCTTTTGTGCTTTTAATTAGGTTGGGATTTCCTCAATTTCTCCCTACATATAAATTGCTCTATCATGGTAGTCAAGATCGCAATCTGACTCGTACGAATCGACGTTACGGATCGTGCAATCACACAATCTCCGGAGATCGGCGGTTGAGAAAAGCCCAAAGACCAAAACTCAATTCCAATTCCAATCGCGCCTGCCGCGACTCCCAAAGACCAAAACTTAGCGCCTGTCGCGACTCCGAATTCTAGTCGCGACTCCCAATTTCAATGTCGCGACTTCCAAGTTTGAATAGCCCCAAGTTTTGCAACTTCGATTTTGCCGCTTTTGAATTGGAAAAGCCCAAGTTTTCAAGACTTCGATTTTGTAGCTTTTGAAAAACCCAAGCCGAACTTCAATAAACAAATAAGAATTATAATACATTAGCAACACAAATATAAACAATATCACACAATAAATTGTACTCAATCATTCCCTTGGTGGTACATGGTGTCATGGTGCCAATTCCGTGATAACTATGTTTCTCATTGTCTGGTTTTGAAATATTGAAAACTACAGGTGCATACATTCAGTTCCATCAACTGGGATGGTTGAAGATGACCACTGGCTTGTACCTACTATTCCAGGTGGCATTTCGGGAACAGCATTAGCTGCAACGCTCATTCGAGATGGTTGGAGTGTGAGTTCAAATTCTCCATCATACAACTGCATTTCATGCTCTTGTTTTCGAAGCCTTTTCACTGTTTATTATGAACTAGAAAATAAGAGAACTACAAGAATGCAATTCATTCTTGCCGCCATCTAATTCAAGGATTTTCCATTTATTTTGTTAAGTTGGCTAAGATGTACACCAAATATCAAGAAGCTGTTGATGCATTGCATCATGAGCAACTGGGTAGAAAGCAATCTCAAGCTATCTTGGAGCGGGTAAATCTTTTTGAGCTATGAAGTTATCTTTACTCAATTGTTGTTAATCCTAATGTTTTTATGTGAATGTCATGTTTCTAAAATTGCTATGGCAGTTGTGCCAATTGATATATTTTATCTCTTCCTCTATAACTCAAACATTGTTAATCCTTATGTTTTAACATGAATGTCATGGCTCTAATATCGCAAGGTCTATTTCTCCAATGGATACATATTTACTCCTGTCATTAAATATGCTACTTTGTGCATTATTCACTGCTGGTACACGGGCTAATCGAGAATATACTACTAGTCTCTAGTACTTGTTTGAGTTGCTTTGTGGCATTAAGTGAATATTTTCTTGAGTTTTTTTCTTTATACGACATAAGAGTTCAATTATTTGTTACATCCTTATATGTTGTTACTCATGCCTGGAAAAAGGATTTGCCTGTTACATTTCAATAGCTTTTTGAAGGGCTAATCAATGCCACCCTTTGTGCTTGCGATCGTACTTCAGTTTCATGCATAACTAATACTCAGGATTTGCGTACAAAATAAGACATTCATATGGTTATCTAAATTATATTTTGTAGTTGAGGAGATCCCACTCTATGCTCTTTCAACTGTCTTTTTGTTGGTTTACTGGTAGTATGGCAGGACACTTCTGGACAACATGAATTTGTGTATGTTTATGTTAGGTACTTCATGATATTGAAGAGAATGCTGGGGCCATATTGGATGAGCGAGGTAAGTCATTATTATATCTCCATTTTAAGCTGCTCGCACCATTTTTGTTTAATCACAATCCTACCAAAATAATTAGTTTGTGATCAAAGAATAATGGAAGTTCTGCAGTATTGGAATTGAAAGCTACCACTTAATTGACATAGCCAGCTATTGTTTGAAGTATCAGTAAATACTCAAAAATTTTATCGTCAAATCAGCTGGAAGATATCAAATCTTGAAAGAAGGGATGATTATACTGTATGAAATCTGGTTCAAATTTGTAAATATCAATTTGTTCTCTAATTACATGACACTAGATTTATAACTATTTACAGCGGAACATGAGAGATTGGTGGATGCATACACTGTGCTAGATGAAAAACTTAAGCATTCTCTTTCTGAGAAAGCTACTTTAGAGAGTGACATTGAAGAATTGAAGGTTTTGTTTTTTCATTTTTTGCTGTTATTTGTTTTTATTGTATGTTTCTTTACCTTCTTAGTCTCAACTCCTCAATATTAATATTAAAATTTTTCTTAGGCTGATTTGCGACGTTGTGAACGGGACTATACATTAGCTAAGCAGGAGACTATGGATCTCCAGAAGCAGGTTTGTTTCGTAATGCATTGTTATATCTCAGCTCCGAGTGTAACGGTATTAAGCTCGGATTTAAGGAACAAGCTCCTTCTTTTGCTGGATGGGTTAATAGTCGATTATCAGTATGGTGATAATCGATTATATAGGACTGCAGGAGTTTCCCTTGATGTATGATAATCGATTGTCCAAGTAGGATAATCGATTGTCAAGTGATTCAGTTTCTCAGGAGGAGCTTCAGAAGTTTATGAGAAATAAACAATCGATTTACAAGAAGTGATAATCGATTATGGAAGGCTGCAGATTTTCTGGGAATGAGTGATAGTCGATTATCTTAAATGGATAATCGATTATTACTACCTGCAGATGTTTCTAATGGAACTGATAATCGATTGTGGGGAGTGATAATCGATTGTTTGGCAGTGATTCTGGACAGGAATAAAGGCGTTTTTACGGGGAATGGGTTGGAAATATATGGGGCTGATGGGGAGTTCTTTTGGGTATTTTTAATGGAAGAAAAGAGTAATATTAAGAGGAGAAATGGGGAGGTATGAAATGGAAGAAAATCAGGGATGGATAAACCAAGTTGGTGTTTAAGAGATATAACACACTCTTATCCTAACTTGGGGTTTGAATCTAGAATTTAATTAAGATATGACACACTTAATCAAATATCTAGAACCTAAAACTCACACTTAAGATAACCACTCTTAAGATATAGAATTAGGAATTTGGCTAAAATAGCATCACACTATTTTAAAAATACTCAAAGAGTAAAATGTTTTAATATTCAAAGGGTTGTGTTACAATGGCCATAAGGCCTGAGTTATATAGGCAGGGGAAAGGGGAAATAATACACAATGCAATGAATGTGAACATGAGGAAGCTTCCTAGCAGCATCCTCTCTC